CGTATACATATATACGTATATATATATATATATATATATATATCATATGTATGTGTGTGCGAGTGTATATATATATATATATTCATTCTAACCGAACTGTCTATCTATCCGTTCTTAACGCACATACCTATGTTTCTAAATTTATTCATATATACATTTTGGCCGTCGATTTTACCTTAAATCTACTTTTACATGAATGAATATGCTTGTATTAAGTGTCAGTAGTTTCGGATGCAAATTTGGCACAAACGTAGGTTTTCATATGCTCATCTACGACCTTCGAGCTGATAATTTTAACCTGTTTATATGTGAATTCTATTTTTCCCGTTTCATTCGCAGTTGGATGAGGTCAGCAGTATGTCGAAACATTCGTCACACAAATCAGGGGCTGGTCATAAACAGAAGATACTGCCCTCTGATCACGCCACAGTCACAACTGATGTCAGTACAACAGCACATGATCATGTAGAGACGACAAATGGTGTTATAAATCCTTCGGATAAAGAGAGGTATGTATTTGTATATGTTTAGCAGGGCCTTGGCCAAATGTAATGCCAGGTGTTTACAGTACGTACTGGCGTTGATATTTTTGTGAACTACCGAGAATCGCACTTGAGGAGTGTAACTGCTTGCGAACAGCTCTTACTATAGGTCACGCATTTGACACTCTGCACCGGCATATTATTACGTGCTTACTTTCTTGCTTACAGTCATTCACCATCTAATAATCAATTTGTATCCGTCTATTAGCACAAATTCGCTTACCTGCAGACACTCGTCTAACGTTCTATACCAATCTACGGCTTACAATCGATTGCCATCCTATATTGATATACTAACCATGACTCGTCCTATCCTCAGCAACCCGCTGCACCAGTCCAAAATCGGGAAAGCCGGCACGCCTCCATCAAAACCAATCAACAATCAGGTCACGCCACCAATTAGCAACACCGCGCCTGATAGCGGCGTAGCACAGCAAGATAGTATTACTCGACAGAATAGTAAGCCTCTGGCAGCAAGCGACTCGCCGAAATCTCAACAAAAAGCTGGTGGATCGCGAGAATCCGACCCGATTGTAGTTAAAAATGAGGCCACGGGTATGCCGGTGGAAGCGCAGTTGAAGGGACAGGCACTCTCACAGGCACAGCCGTCACAAACGGATCAGAAAGCGGAGCCAACCAGCACTCAGGGCAAGCTGAGGATGCAAATGAACAGTGCAGCGGCGGATCTGGCCGCAGAAGAAGATGAACTCAATGACAATGTCGACGTATGTAGACTGGTTGACTGGGCAGAATTGAGTAATGTATAGTTCTTAGCTGCTCGCGGGGAATGTTGTTGACATTCATGAGCCTGCTTTTTATTCGTGTTTGTGATTAGGTTTGTGTTCATGTTCACACTATGAACCACAGTATATAGATTGTATATTTGCAGAGCTTGTATAGTGATGCGTCTTTACTGTAGTGTACGTGTTGGTATTTTCACAGTGTCCTCATCTCGGACAACTTTGAGCTCTTACATTTTTTAATGCTGAAACAATACTCGATCCCGTAGTTATCGGGGGCAGCACACCATAATCTTCTGCTTGAAAATACATGTGCTAGCACTCACAGTGATTATTCCACCACATAGTTTTCTTTCCAATCCTGTCGACAATTCAAACCGATACTTGTTTCAGGGGGACTTTTGCTCTTGCCTGTGTTTCTGAGCTTTTTAAATATACGATCTTTCTCGCAGCAAATGGTTGATTTGGCTACAACCACCAGCCGCATGTCCCTGAGCGGCTCTAAAACGGGTTTGAGGAGGCAGAGCACCTCCTCACTGCAGCACATCAGCGACAGAGCCCCTTTAAGCACAGGTAATACAATCAACGGCAACTCCGCAGTGTTCTACAGCGACTATCACAAGGACGAAACGGCTTTACGGGCGTCTAAACAACTCAGGAAGCGCAAGTATGTCGAATGCTATCTCGGAGTTCTCACCATTTGTTCTGCGTTATGGGCCAGTGCTGCCACATTATGTTGTGTTTTGTTTTGTGTGCTGAGTCGTTTCTGTATCGCCTGTGCTGTGCGCGGTCCACTTTGTCTTCATGGCGATGTTTGCCCGTGATTGTATTGAATGTTTGTTATCGCATCCGTTTTGGTTGCAGCGCAAATCAGTACCCTGCACCCTATTTGGCTGTTCGATAGTTCCTGTATCTGATTTGGCTGTGCTGATTTTTTTAATTACACTATCTAACGCACCAGCTCGCTATTCTGTCTTCTCCGTCACAGACACAGAAAGAGAGCCAAGACCAATGGACTGGTGGACGTGGTTGCCATAGCAGCGCGTCGTGCGAAACACCAGAAATTGTCCAATAGTTGTTCCACCCTGTTTGTCGAACAAACTGTCAGCCAACCGAATCTCGATTTGATTCTACAATGGTAAGTCCGACACATCTACATAGCCAACTGATCAAAATGTTGCAATTTACAACACCTCGCATGGAGATTGCATAGTTTGTATGGGTGCACTTACGTACTGCTCTAGTGATCACCAGTTGGCCCTGCATTAGAAAAGCCTATGGTCTCGATTCGCCTAATTCGCGGTGAATAGTTTCCCGGTACTTTTGTCTTCCCTGTCGTTCTATGTTCTTTAAAATGATTGTATCTTTCCTGTCGCTAATGTCTGCTCTCCAATACAAACAGCGCGGCTACGGCTATACATATGACCTTCACGACTACCTTAGCGCTGCCTGAGAGGCCCCGATTTAACGCGATCTTCGACGAGAAGCTTTTCCCCCTCACAGCACAGCGTATACCTCAGGACTACGCCACTCACTTGCTCTCAGTAACGAGCATATACGACTTTTTGCGAGCCTTTTTCAAAGCGGCCGTCTTAACCGCTGATGTGGCCATAGTGACTATGGTGTACATCTCCAGGTTACACAACACGGGTTTGGTACTACAGCCTGCTAATTGGAAGAGGGTTGTGCTAGGAGCTATCATGCTGGCATCGAAGGTGTGTTTCCAGAACCAGTGGTTAAGTTTGAGCTAAAGCTTACTCTGTCGCCCAAGACCGCGTATCGACTTGTACGTTCTTAGATGCGGCTGCAAACTGTGTCGTGCTCAAATTCTGTGTTGTGTTTCTTCTTTTACAAATTAGCACGTGCGAGTGGGAGTGCACCTAACTGGTGGTGACCAGTCTCTTGGCCAGAAATGATTGTTCGAAAGTACTACGTTTGTCATATTTGTCATCTGACAGAATTTCATCCGCGTGTCCCATTTACTCCGTTCCCTCCCTTTTCTTAATTGTTCTAAACTGAATTTTCTATTAACTTCATTTCAGGTATGGGATGATCAGGCCGTCTGGAATGCCGATTACTGTAAAGTACTGCCCGATGTTACCGTCGAGAGCATCAACCAGTTAGAGCGAGAGGTATGTGATTATATACGTCATTATGAAACGTTTATGAAAATGGGGTGTCGGAATCTGTTACAAACGAGTCCGTTTCTGTGTGAAGATTTGCGGAGTGGCCTAAAAATAGCGCGGAATTATACTCGCCCTAAAACACTAAAAATCGAAGTTAGACTGATACCTTTCAGAATATGGGTGATTTCACGTCAAATCTATTGCAATACTTTGCCGTCATTCTATCCTCCAGCTTCAACTGCTTTCCTCTTATATTTCGCTGACAATATTTCTTCGGCGTTGTATCACCACAGGTGTTGGAACGCCTTTTCTACAATGTGAGTGTGTCCTCCGCCGAGTACGCGCAGCACTACTTCGATCTCAGGATATATTGTCTGCGTGCGGATCACGTAGAGGGTGTGGTATTCTCTCCTCTGCGCGTACGAAAAGCTAAGGAATTAGATGTGATGGTCGTACATCAAAGCGACAGTCGAGTATTGCAACGGGCGAATAGTTCAGAGATGTACAGACCAGTGTCTAGTAATGTTATAATTTCATAAATAAATTTTTATGCGTGTCAGCATGCCATTCGATTTATATATATTTACGAGTGTTTTATATTTGGATGAGCATACGGAGCCCTTGGTCCAAACTTCGATGTCCGAAAAATCACAGGCATGCTTTTTTTTTGCATACACGAGTAGAAACTGATTTCAGTTGCGGCTGTCAGGCAATGTCAACCCCTTTTTATATAGTTGGCAAGTATCTTCATGAAATCTCCTTGGCAGGGTCGCACAGCAACCCAACCAAGAAATACTACAAACCGTGGCCCTTCGTTCTTGGTGCAAAAGCCCGTGCTCGATTTATCCAATAGGCTATCTACCTTCAAAGAATAGGCGCTCTGCTCATCCACAAGCTGACAGTAGCTCATACAAATGTATAAATGAATTGTATCGAATTTAATTTAAACACGTCGCCCTCGACACAACCCATAATCTCTCTGAATTTCGTATGTAAGAGAAGTCAAGCCTGTGAAAAAAAATCTGGAGAAGGACGTCCAAGCATGTGCTTGAGGGAGTATATTCAGCCGCATCTATATGGGTGTTTGTACGTCGTTTTATTAAAACGTCTATATACGTGTAGCCACAATATCTCGTAATGTGATACTTGAAAGCGACGACTATACATCGTGGAACTGAGATGCCGGTCAAGCTACTCCACAAAGACCGTATAACGCCATATATATATATATCAGTAATGTGAGGGAATGCATAGCCTTCCAAAGAAAACAATTAGGAAAACAATTAAGAATGGCTGAAGGTGATGATACGACCCGAATAACCCTCCCTCTGCTACAGTGCAAATGAACCATACATTGACACGCCCCTGTTTTAAATAACATAATCAGCTGCTGTATATTGTGCTCATTCGTCAAACAATTTTTTATTGGGTGTTGCGTCGCATGATGCTATTGACTATTTCGCACATGATCTCGTGCCCAACTCCTCCACCCCGTAACCGATGCATATTCGTCAAATGGAGGGATTCGAAATGCACAGGCATCTCATTAATTTTGTACTCCATAAGCTCTTTGTATAATGTCATATGCTCAAAACGGGACAGGCGGGGCCGCGCCACCGTGGACCGGTCGTATGTGCACGCACTGAATGTTGATGTGATGGTTACTCTTTCCGATATAACAACCCGGTTAGATTTTGGTTTCATACAGGAGCGCAAAGATTCGTGCAAAGTGTCGCTTTCATTTTCGCACGATTTCCGGTCTGAATGTCGTCGGCCATTGAATACTGGCAGCAAGTTCCGCAAAGCGGCAACGGTAGATGATGATTTCTTCGGCGTCGAATAGTCTTTTGCACTTTGAGTACGTAATTGAGTAGAAGCAGTAATTGCCGGGTCTGAACGTGCTGTCATGGAAAACACCCAATCATCTTCAGTAGACGTGCCATCGACTTCACATGTGGAGGCGATCTTTTCCCGGTGAGGGCTTTCCCAGCCTATACAACGCACATCTAATATGCCACAGTTGCTACCCATTAACTCTATGTTTTGATTACCCTCAATGTCTGGCAGCGAAGATATAGCTTGTAATAAGTTACTTCTTGGAGACGACATGAGATAGAAATTACTGCCGCTATCTATTGTTTCGTTGGCAGAGACTTGTGGTGCTGAGCCGCGACGCAAGCTTGCACGAACTGCTGTACTGTTGAAGAAAGTCGGTGTATTGTCTACATGAATACTGTTGCGGCGAACGGAGGGCCGTTGTAACATTTTTGAGTCGACCTTTGTGGGCTGGGAGTCATCCTCCGGTCTTTGGGGAATCTCTGCTGTTTTCATGTCGTCCCTGTCAGGTGTTGATCCACACGAGTTATCAGAGCCCATAAGCGACTTCGTAGCATTACGCGATAATTCATTTTGTAATTGGGTAAGTTTCATGTTGCACTTTCGAGTTCGATACCGTATCTTCTGGCCGAGTTTCGGCATGGAGGAGAACAAGGTCGAAAGTTTATCACGTTGGTTGTCATCGCACTCGCTATTCTTATCAGCCGATAGTGAAGCGTATTCGGCAGTAGATCGACTACTAATGTCATGTTTTGCGGAATCGTCAGCGTTTATTGTGCGAGTGGTGGCAGTAGAATTACAATCTGCTGAACTTGTATCACATGATAACTTATCGAATATTGAGTCCGAAGCTATCAGTGCAGCGATATCGAAAGTCTTGCCATTTTTGCACGAGATATCGTGCGTACGAGATATACATCGTTTAGTATGTGTTGGCACGATAATATCAACGCTTGAGGGAGTTGTTGTTTGATCTATTATATTACAGTTCGAAGGCGTGTTCGTTGCCGTAGTACTCGCAGGTCTGATACTAGACTTCAGGGAGGATGTTTCTATACTGGAGGTCCATCGCGTGAGCGACTGTAGTACATGAGAATCTGCACTTTTGAAATCCGGCCCCGGAGCTTCTCCTAGTGTGTCTTGTAATATCATGGTCCACTTGCTTGCGTAATTGCCAAGACTTTGCGAGCTGAACATTGATATTATATACTCACCTGAAGAAATGTATTCACTCCACCAGTGCAAACTATGGGTTTCTTGTTGTTCTCTTAATTAGCTCCACTGCTAGCGCACCCACCTATCAGCGGACAGCGGTGTCTCGTGCGAATTTCCAAAATTTAGCAGTGAGGACTGAGGTCATTGTCTATGCCGAGGGAGCTAAAAGGTATTTATTTGTCCAGAACACGGCTGACCACCTGACACTTGACAGCAGTCCACCATCGTCCAAACTCCAACACTCTTTTGCATTTAAAAAAAAAACTTTGTTTGTTTTAATAAAATATTAATTTTTACAAAATAAAATTAGCCAATGAAATTATTATAAATAGATATAAATATACAAACAATGAGACAAAAACCTTTTTTGTTGTATAAAAACAAAAGATTTTAAGATTTGTCTGAAATCTCAAATCTCAGAAATCTGAACTTCTGAAGTCCTGGCCTCCTGGTCCTCGGACAATTGACATTGAGTGACCATGAGTCTGTTCAGTATTCACAGTGTTCTGACTTCCGAGTTCTCAGTTCTGGGCTTCTGGGCCCTGTTCATTGAACACAATCGTTCACACTGTGTGACTTTCTGTCAGACTGTCAGTGGCTGAGTGCTTTACTGTTTTTAACTGTCATCAACTGATCACATATCAGTTATCGCTCATCCCTGTCATCACTCATCAGTCTGCAGAGTGCAGAACTGCAGACTGTAAATACACTGCACAGGGTCACAGACTGATCACTCAATGATCATTGGTCAATGATCACTGTGATTTTAGACTCGCACTTACTCCCAAGCTGGAAGCCTGCCGCCTGGCCCTGAGCGGAGCCTGGCAGGAGGGCAGCCTGAGGCCCTGAGCGGCTGAGCCTGTGACTGACTGACGAGACCGCCAGACCGCCAGAGCCCAGAAAGGCCACTGACCGGCCCTTAGGGCCCGGAGCCCCAGACTCAGAGCCCCAGACTCAGAGCCCACTGACCACACTGTGTGAGTGTGAATTGTGAAGTATTCAGGTATGAAGTGTGAATTTACTGAATTGTGTGAACTGTGTGGCTGTGAGTAATTGAGTATGGCAGGCTCTGCCCCTGTCTGCTCTCAGCCTCTCACAGACTCACACAATTACACTCACATGCTCACGCAGTCCACCGAGACACAGTGAAACAGACCAGAGTGAGACCACTCACCACAGCTCCAGTCTCTCAGCCTCTGGCAACATTCTCAATTTCTATAAAACAAATATATATGGAATAAAAATAAGGGGGTCAAAAAAGAAAAAATATCTCGCACGGCCCTCTGGATAAAGAGTGATTACTGAATACTGATTAGAGTGATAAAAACGGGAAGAATCAAACCTGATTTCTGCTCGCGAGTCGCATCATTCGCCTCTTCGCAAGTCGCGACCCTAATTAGTAATTACTAATATTAAAAAGTATGTAAGGCATCCAGACTCCAGAGTCCAGAGGGCTGTGAATACTGAATACTGGATACTGAGTAATGAATATGTACTATGTAGTGAATACTTACGCACTGAATACAACACTGGTACCAGATACAGAGATAAAAATTTAAAAATCCTGTTTTGGACGGTCTGGGCCAGAGAGAGGCCCTGGGGCAGGGCCCTGGGGGCTGGCAATGTTTACAAATTCTCATTGTTCATTTGGCTGTCCCTATCAGTCTATCCCAAGTTCGGAATCTCAACTCCCAACACCCAAGTCTCTACTCTCTTCACACGAGCAAAATAGGCAATATGGGACCAAGAGAAGTATCAAAACTCCCATTTAATAAAGATATGTAATCTATTAGATATGCAACCTCAGTCATCAACGTATTTATTACTCAATTTTTATTTTGGTTATTACACACATGGGTATGTATTTCAGCCACAGGTATATTTACTCTTTCTCTCTTTTTTTTTTCATTGCCGTTCTGCCGGTCTGGCCGTCTGCGCGCCAGTTGGTTTGGGCCCTGAAGGAAGGAAGTTAGGAACGGACTCGAAACCAAAGGTGCATTCAGTGAAGGTACAGTGGTAATACCTTCATCTCAGCAGCCCCAGTAAGTCATAAATATTTCTGTTCCATTTCACAGTATAGCTACTTGTAAGATCTAGTCGACTGATATTTGTCGTCTGTCGTAGCCCGTGCTACCCCAGTTCATTTGTTATCTGCTTTACAATCCAGAAATTCTTGAGATGGAATGCGAATGACAGGTATCTTGTCTACTTCAACAAACATGATAGGAGAGACGACAGTTCTATCATCCAGATTTCCCGTTGCCTAGGCGATGATTGACATAATGCCTATGTGATAGCAATCCAGCCATCCTTTTTAATTGTTGTCAAACTTTATTAGAATTGTTGATAAGGGGTTATCAAATGGGAGCTCTCCAGTGTGCGTTTAGGAGTCTCACGCATATTGACGCTCGATTGTTGAATTGCAAAGGGTTTCGATAAAGCGATAACGGGTGCGCGTTGCAGAAGAAATGCGTGTTTATAGCTAAATTGCGTCGACCAGTATTGAATATATGTGATAACTACTTGCGATTGAGACACCAACTCTCACTATTTTTATATTTCTTTGGCTACTCTGCTATTTGCTAATTTCTATTCATCACCCTGATCTTCATCTACCTGCGGCCTGGTTTTCTGGCCCGTCACTTTTGATACAGTCGGTAGGATCTTGGATGGCCTCGGAGACCTCGCAGGCGTGAATGTTGAGATGAGGTCTGTTTCATCAATGGGTAGTCATAGTGAGTCAGAAGTTGATGTACACATTTATGATGTCCTTCTCTCGCACTGTAGAGCACACTACTTACAGTCATGACTAGTATCTCCTGTTACGACTCCTTCGGTCACGAGCAACGAGAATATGACATGTTTGCGTGCAGCTGCAAATAGCAAATACACACTTCGGTCCAACCCAGTAAGGTCAACATACCCACAAGGCTAGATGATCGATTGTTTCTTTGGGTGCTTTTGGTAGTATACGTTTGATATGGCGAATTTCTTGGCTGGGTTAACATTTGTGTTTGAGACTCGTTAGGTCTATAAGATTCGTGTTGGTTCGTATAAGCAGTTGTGTCTACCGCTTCGGTTATTTCGGAGTCCATATATTGAGTTGGAATCTGACTTTCGTTGCCTAATGATGCAACACTGCGATCTGAATAGGAAGGCGAGTGCTATATATTAGCAGGTGATTTAATACCAAAATGATATAGCTTGACATCGCAATCGACAGAATGTTTGAACCACATCTGCGAAATTGAGAATTTACGGAATGGTACTGAATGATACACGTGGTTTGCAATTGGGAGAATTAAATTGTCCTTTGCTTACAACATTATCCGTGGAAGATTAACAATTACGGCAGACGATCCCGACGCATATGCATAATTGTATAGTGGATTACTGACCTCGTCATATGCTCAACTTGTACTTACCCAGATAGAAGGTACCTTCGCTCACACTTGTTTTAACGACATTGGTATGCATACCCAAGCCTTCTACAGGGAATACAACCCTTTAACGCATGGCAATGGCAGATATTTCGCAATTTCCATACAGACAACTACCGCCACTGTGCATGTTTTCAGATTTTTCCAGAAACACAATAATGCAGCCCACAACCCATCCCATACCAAAATAACACAAGGGGTGACTGTATCGTAGGCAAGACCCTATGGGTAGATTGCAACATACTAGAGGTTGACCGTTCCGCGAGGCCCGCATAATTGTGCTGTGTGTCCGTTCGGTACCTCTCCATCCCTTTCTCTGATCCAACAGCCCCATACGCCATGAGCCTAGGTGATGAACTCCCCCTTATCACACCGTTGACCAGTGATGACTGAGACACAAGGAGTCGTGCGTGTGTGTCCTGTGCGCGTGTGCTTATTTGGTTGTCTGATGCCGTAGTTGTAAGGTTTATGGATGCAATATTGGTGGGAGACTCGCCACCCGAGGACCATATCACTCGACCAACAGGAGCAGTGTCTGCAGTATTACCACGTACGTTAACAATACCCTCGCTAACAGTATCGGTGTCGGTTGTGCCACTTCTTATTGTAGACATAGGCGTGGTTTCTGTAAGACTATGAGCAAAGGCAGAGGAGATCCACAGCGGATAACATGGACGAGTTTTAGAAGGGCATCGAGTGTTATACCACATGTACAGAGACGGGCGTAGAAAAAAAAGGGAATAAATATAAAATCACATAGACAAATTGTATATTGACAAGGTTGGACCAGTCTAGAAGTTAAATAAGGGAAAGCAACTACGACTTTCATTCTTTGCTCACATAGAGTCCGGGGAAGCACCGTTGGTGCTCGTATATATATATATATATACGTACATACAAACATACATACATACATACATATATACATACATACATACATAAATACCTACATACATACATGCATACATAC